CTCCACTTCCCGAAGACAATCAGATAACCTTGTTCTCTGCTGGCTTCATCTCTTTACTGCCCTGAGGACACACAAATTATGAGAGCTATTTCTACAACGAATTCACGGTGTCCCCCTGCTAACATCTGTCTCCTCCTCTGAGCCTCACTTCCTTCACATAAGTGGAAGCCAGTTCTGCACAGGATTAAGAAGGACTGTTGAGCTAAGAGCTTCTGTGTTTGTGACCACTGACACTCCCCCTTCCACCTTGAGAAGAATTTAGTATGAACCCGCCTCCAGTCCCGTGCCGTGCCTCTGCCCGTGTCCGTGATGTGTGTGTGCTGGGGGACCGTTCACGGAGACGCCGCCCCACCTGCGGAGGCTCTCAGGTGGGCGCGTGCCAGAGGAGGAGTTTCTTCCGGGGCCTGTTGCTCCTGAGTCCGCCATGCGTCACCCCAGGGGACACGTGCAGTGGGCAGCCAGCTTCCTCAGTCTGAGTCAGAGCGTGCAGGAGGGAGACGTGCGTGTGGAATTGGCGAGCAGCAGTGTCGCAAGGAAAGCTGAGATCATGCAGGCACTGCGGGCAGAGTTTGAGGGAAACTTAAATACACAAGCAAACGAAATCTAGTGGGGTCAAAACTACAGAGGAGATGGATAAAACCGGGGTTAGAAAACTATGGCCAGGGAGCTATATCCAGCTCACTGTCTATTTGGTTTAAAAAAAAAAGTTTTATTTTTTATTGAATCTAGTATGCTCTGGCCATGCTTTATTGGAATCCAGCCAACACAGGAAGGATTCTTTGTGTTGTCCGTGGCTGCCTTTGCCCAATGCAAATGCATATGTTTTCTGCATATTTCCACACAACAGCTCAGTTCTTAATTCTTGAAACGGGCACTGCCGTTAGCCTTGCTAACGCCCGCTGTTGATGGAGCCCTGTGGCCCTCTCCTGAGCAGCTCCGCCTCTGCCGCGGGCGTTGGCAGATATTTTCCACAACGGGGCAGGCAGTCAGTGTTGGGCTGTGTGGACATGGGTTCTCTTTCGCAACCACCCGACTGTGACCCTGTGGCGCAAAGCAGCCACAGACGCGATGTGGAAGTGAGTGAGCGCGGCCGTGTCCTGACCAGATGGTAAACCCGGGCGCCGAAATTTCGGTTTCAGATTGTTTGCCTGTGTTGCAAAATTTTACCCTTCTTCTGATTTATGTCCACAGTTTAAAAAGATAAGCCTAGTCCAAGCTCGAAAGCCACAGGAGAATAGCGATTGGCTGGGGTTTGCGCCATGGGCTGTTTCCATATGGACACAAATTTCCATTTCCAAGTCCTTCCTTGTCTATGACCATGGAGCAAGCAAACGAGGTGTCAAAGCTCATGAGCCTTTTCTAAGAAACGGGGTCCACAATTCTGAGCAAGATGGGTCTGTGGCTATACAGGGAAACGGTGCCGTGTGTGAAGGTGCTTTGTCAAGGGTGGCTGCTCCAGCACCGTTTCCTCGTTTGCAGCCCTGCCTCACAAGCGTAGCTTCGAGGGGGAGCGCCTGGGCCTTCTGATTGGTGCCCCAGTGGCCGCTGGGGTCCTTATCCTGGTCCTGCTCCTCTTCCTCTGCTGCCGTTGCAAAGCCAAAAACGGTAAGTCCTGGAGGTGAGGAGGGGAAGCCTGCGCAGAGCTCTGTGGTGCGAGTCCGGCCTGGAAGTGGGGAGATGGGGAGGGGCCTTTGCTAGGGGCGGGGAAGGGGTCTGAGCAGGTCCAGAGGCAATGAAGTGTGGGCAGATTTGCTGACTCATGCTGTGATTGTGGTAACTTCCTGAGCCCCATCTCCTATCAGGAAAATGAGAAGACAGGGCTGGGGGCGATCTACAACCACGCTCTCAAAACCATGACATTCTCTTTTGCTTTATTCACTAGTTTGTTGTATTTTGTAGATTATAGATACAGAGAACAAACCAGTGGTTGCCAGTGGGGAGAGGGAAGGGGGAGGGGCAAAATTGGGGTGGGGGATTAAGAGATACAGACTATTAGGTGTAAAATAATCTGCAAGGATGTATTGTACAGCTTGGGGAATATATCAGATATTTCCTAATAAATATAAATGGAGTATGACCTTTAAAATCTGTGAATCACTATATTACACACTTGTAACTTCTATAATATTGTACATTAGCTATACTTCAGCTTTTAAAAATGGGGGAAGGATATAGCTCAAGTGGTAGAGCACGTGCTTAGCATGCATGAGGCCCTGGGTTCAATCCCCAGTACCTCCTCTAAAAATAAATACATAAATAAATAGATAAATAAGTAAATAAGCCTAATTACTTCCCCAACCAAAGTAAACGTCAAAAAAAATTTTTCTTTCAATGACCGTCTCTTAGTCTGTTGGAGCTGCTGTAACGGAATACCACATACCTAGTGGTTCAAACTGCAGACATTTGTTTCTCACAATTCTGGAGGCTGGGAGGCCCAAGACGGGGGTGCTGGGACCCAGTCCCTGGTGAGAGCCCCCTGCAGACTGCCACCTTCTTGCTGTGTCCTCTCAGAGCAGAGAGAGAGCATGAGGGAGCTGGCCTTTCATGAGAATTCCACCCTCGTAACCTCATCTAAACCTAAGCACCTCCCAAGGGCACCACCTCCCAACATCATCACTTGGGGGCTGGGTTTCAGCAGATGAATTGGGGAGGGGTGGACACAAATACACAGTCCTTAACAGCCTCCTTTTCCCTCCAGATGCTGCCAGGAAAGAGGGGCAGCCAGAGGCAGCTGGGCCAGCGGATGGACAGGTAGGAGCTTCCTCCCCTCCTCTGTCCCCAACTGTCCCTTGAGAACTCACGTCACACCACTTTCATGTTCTCACTTCCTTCCTCAGGCATCTGAAGCTACAGACCCACAGGAGGTCACCTATTCCCAGCTGACCTGCAGTGTCCCCCACCAGGGGACAGCTGGGACACCCTCCCTGCCCAGGCAGACCCAGGCCAGCGAGTATGCAACACTTGCTCTGAGATAAGCCGGGCAGCAGTGCCAGCGTTTCGTCTGGACAGTAGAACTTACAGCTCCCTGTGGGGAGCTCCCGCCTCTGGACTCGAGGCTTCTAAATCTGAGACCGTCAGTCTGGCTGCGGGAACCCACGTTACTCAGAAGGTCCCACCGCCCCCTCTAAATCTAGAGACCTCAGCATTAGCACCCAGTCAGTGCCAGAATCTCTACTACAATTGCCCAGGAATTCCAGAGACACTCCAAAGTTATCAGAAGGGCCATAGGGTAATGTTTCATAAGTTTTCGTTATTCATCAATTAAACAAATATACTTAAGTCCTCATGGGTGCCAGGTTTCATGTCACAGCCTAGGGGCGCAGGAAGGATCCTCAAGACCCATTCCTTTTGTCACAGAGCTGGTTGTCCAGGGCAGAGGCCAGCAACCTGCCGCCCACAGGCTGGCAAGCCAGTTTTGTCCCACACATTTTACATTTTTACACTTTTTAAACGTTGCTTTTGCTTTTTTTAGTGGTAAAATATACATAACATAAAGTTTACCATTTTAACTATTTTTAAGTGCAAAATTCAGTGGCACTAAGTACATTCACACTATTCTACATCCATCACCACCATTGCATTTTATATAGTTGGAAAAGATAAAAGAATATTTTTAACAGAACTGCACATTTTTAACATGCACCATTTGATGCATTTGGACAAAAGCAAACCATGTGGTAACCATCACCACAATCGAGGTACAAGACATCTCCATATTCACGAAGCCCAAAAGACCCTAAAAAAGATAAAAGCATGCAAAAAAAATATTTTATGACATGTGAAAATTATACGAAATTCAAACTTTAACATTCATAAGTAAAGGTTTATGGGAACAGCCGCACATGTTCATTTCTGTTATCTGTGGCCGCTTTCACACCATCGTGGTAGAGTTAAAGAGTTGCAACAGGAACCAGATGGCTCTCAGATATTTACTATTTGGCCCTTGATAGAAAACATTTGCCAACCGCTGGTCTCCTGCGATGGTTCCCAAACTTCAATTTGACTAAGAATTACAGGGGGTACGGGAATGGTGGAGGGGAAAGGTTAAAGATTGGCTCTGTGGCTTCTTCACCCAGCCAAGGACAGGACTTGGGAAACAGTATCATTTATAAAATTCCCAGCTGTTTCTAATACAGATAATTAAGAGACATCAACTTAAGAGAGATGGCTTTGGTACTGTGATTTTTCAAGCTTGGTTGCATATTCAGATCAACTAGAGAATTGTTTAAAATCCTGGGAACCAGATCTCTTCCTCCCACCCTGCCACATTTTGATGAGATTAAGGTTTGATTTGATTCAGTTGGAATGGGACCCCAGCAGTAAAATTCCTTAAGGCTCCCAGATTATTCCAAGGGGCAGCCAAGGCTGAGAACCAGTGATGTCGTGCAGAAGTCAGCAAACTGTTAATATAAATGGTGTGACTGTGTTCCAATAAAACTTTATTTATGTTGCTGGAAGATTGGCCCCATCCCTGATGAGCCAAATAACTCAGAGACAAGGTCTTGGAGTTGAGAAGAAAAGAGGCAGCTTTATTGCTTTGCCAGGCAAAAGGGATGCACAGCAGGCTGGTGCCTTCAAAACTGTGAGCCCACCTTGGGGATGGCGGGGTGGGTATACAGCCAGAGCTCAAACAATAAAGCAGAACAATCAACAGAATGATTTTCTCATCAGAAGACTCAGAATGGCGTCATGATGCCTCCAGGCGACCAATTCTACAGAGGTCAGTGGTTCTTTATCTCGTGGGCACTCAAGGCGTGGTCTTCTCGGTATTTAGCCTGCTTTGGGACGGCTACAGTTCTGTGACCTTCTCCCTGGAGATCGACTCAGAGACCAAGCATCATTATAGCTTTTGATGACTGGAATAAAGTAGAAACAGTAAGGTCAGTAGCTTTAGTTTTAACAGTGGGTCTGGAGCTGTGAGTAGCAACCGGTCAGTCAGGTCAGTTGACTGTTTAAGGCAAAGCATAAGAACAAGCGATCTGTTAGCCTAAGTGTGGCCGTTTTATTAATCCTCCTTCACTTACAGAAACAGGAGACTGGCCCTCAGCCTGCAGTTTTACACCAGACCAGGGACTGGCAAACCATCACTCATTGGCCGAATCTGGCCCATTGCCTGTTTTGTAAACAAAGCTTTATCAGAGCGGTCCGTGCTCATTTACACATTGCCTGTGGCTGCTTTTCCATCACAACAGCAAAGTCCAGTCTTTGAGGTGGAGAACTTGGAGAACTGTGGTGCACAGAGCCCGAAATATTTACTGTCTTGCCATTTACAGAGAAGGTTTGCCAACCGGTGGTCTCGTGGGTGAAGAAAGTTAGGTGAGGGGGGAGGGTATGGCTCAGGGGTAGAGCGTGTGCTTAGCATGACAAGGTCCCGGGTTCAATCCCCAGCGCCTCTATTAAATAAATTAATAAACCTAATTACTCCTGTTACGAAAATGACAGGCCAGCCAAGAAACAAGCACCACTCGGAGGGTTGGAGTACTCAGAGGTATTACGCCGGCGGGCTCAGAGGGGCTTCTGCTCCGAAGCTCTGAGCACCTCCAAGATGTGCGCATGAGGTTTTATAGGGTAAAGTACAAGCTTGGGGTATTCGGCCAAAAGGCATGGAACAGCTTTAGCAGCATTATCATCACAAAAGTGAAGGTGGGGAGGCCGCGAACCAACGTTCCAAAGCCAGATATGTATCTTTGAAAATCCAGCTGGCTAGCAAAAAACATAAACAGCAAACCAACACTGATTAACTTAGATTTACAAGTTAGTCCAGCAGAACTCAGATCAGTATTCCGATACTTAGACTTGTGAGTTATCTTGTTAGCCCAGCCCAGCCTCTCCTTCACATTCCTAGACCTGTGAGTTATCTTGTTAGACCAGCCCAGCCTTTCCTTCACACTCCCCCCTGAAAATAAATAAATAAACGATTTTTTAAGAAAAGAAAGTTAGACAAAATACCCTGTAATAACGCATCCGGCCAGGTTATCCAAAATGCTAGCCCGCGGGGCCGTGGGGATTGGCAGGGTGAGCAGAAGCCAGTCGCGGAGGCCACAGCAAAGGATCCGTGGGCACAAGGTGCAGACGGAGGACACATCCCAGCAGTCCGTACAGGATTATTAATTGTAGTCATCATCATGAACACCTTACGTATATACAACTAATATGTAAAAAATAAAATTTAAACACCCGCCATCCCTTTGGATAAAAAGACATTGTAAGCACACATCGCCCCACGTGTTAGGAGCCACAAAACATTGCTTGGATTGAGCACCAAGTGGGCAGCGAAGTGAAGAGAAGGGAATCAGCTGAGGCCAGACTCTAACAGGTCTTGAAAATCCTGCTCAGTCTGGATTTTGCAGAAAAGGGGGTTGGGAATCAGGGAGCAGTTCTGAGCAGAGAAGTGACAGGATCAGAACAGCACCTGGAGGCCACCATGGAGACCGGCCAGGAAGGGAGGACCTGAGCAAAGGGAAGTTCATCTGAAGGCTGACAAGGGGACCCACATCAGAGGCCAGGTCCGAGCCCAAACGGAAAGGAAGGAGCAGCTCTCAGAGCTACCGGGAAGGCAGAAGACGGGCCGCACCACCTGACTGGCTGCTGTGGTTTGAGTGAGAGGAAGAACCTCGGGAGGGCAGTTTGCAACATGCCTCTAACCAGCAGATGTGAGTCACATTTGACTCAGCAAGCCTGTTTTAGAAACTTGACCTCAAGAGATGGTTACCCAACGTGGAACTGTTTTCTCAGGAAATTCTCAGTTCAGTGTCCTTTAAATAAAAAAACACGCAGGTTGACCTGAACAAACAGCCAGCCAGTTATTTCTCCAGCAAAAAAGGGGTTTATCTAGAATCAGCAGAAAATTGCGATTCAGGGCCTGCAACCACGGTGGGACACATGCAAGTTCTCACAGGGCTAAAGAGACCACTTTTATAGAGGGGACACGTTGAGAAGACTGTAGCAGACAGAGTTCATGGCTTTTCGTTGGTTGAGTTGTTGCCAAGAAAGAAGAGGGGTCTTTCTTCTTCCTGTTGGATTCAGCCATCCTTGGGGGCTGTAAGAGTTCCCCCTTCTCGTCTCCCAACTCTATCTGAGGTTTCTGCTTATTCATTTTTTCACACATGAGCACAAACACACAAGTACAGGCACACACACCCGTGTGCACATGAACATTCACACAAATGTAGAAATTATGTAAAAGTAGAGCATGGCAGTAATAAAGACAATGATGTACATGACAAAATAGGAAGCTATTCATTTATTTAAATCATACATATATTTATATAATATTTAATAATATATACTAACATGTTACATATATTTGAATATGCATATTTATACATTTATATTATGTATAATATACATGTAACATATTATGGTAATCTATTATATGTACGTTTATAAGCATGATTTAAATGACTGAATAGTTTTCTATTTGGTCATAATTATATATAACATTCATATCAGTATATTTTCTATAGCTATATCTATAGATACAGAGAGAAGGAGGTGAAAAGTGTTCAGGATAGTTTTAAGGGGAAAAACAGCAGGAAAAAGCATTTTTCCACTGTTACTTCTGGATGGTAAGAAATAGAGATGTTCTCACTCTGTTCTTAGAACTACCGTCTACCATTTGAATCACAAAGACGTAACATTTCTATAAAAATAAATCTACTTTAAAATATTCATTGCCTCAGTTTTTCCATGTCTATGAAATTCTACATAAGAAAAGGAAAAAAATTTTTTTACAGGATGGCTAATTCACAGTATCTGTAAGAGCTACAATATTTAGCCATTAAAAGGATTTACCATGTATTACATTACTAATACGGCTTACCTGGCCTCTGTGTGGAAGGGCCTGTGCTTGCAGTGTGTCAGAGTCTGCACAGGGTACAAGATCAAATAACTCCTTTTCTGGATTTACGGTAAAGAGAATGCCCACTTCACAAAAGTGATGCTCGAACATAGACTATATGGGATTTAGGTAAAAATGAGAGCTCTGCTCTGCAGGAAAATTACAGCCTGGCAATCTCACCCAACCAGAGTACCTTTCAATGGGTCGCCACTCTGGTTTCGTGTAAGGAACATAAAACGTTCCCACTGAACACGCCACCTCAGTTTCCCTTGTGAAAAACACGTACTGCTACGGTAAGGAGGACTTTTATTCTCAAAAGCAGATATCCTCAAGTGTGAGCCATGCACCAGCTTCTTTTATCAGAGAAGCTTTCCCCAGACTTCCAGTGTGGATGAACGTTGCTGGGTATAAAATGGTCAACCAGATGACGCTAACATATGTATTCCACAGACAATGTGTTGTGTCATTACCCACATGAAAACCTGAAGTGAAAATGGTTCACAAGTTGAAGGTTCCTGAGTTTATGGAACACTTCTCTGGAAACGGAGTCAGTGAACATTTTCTTTCAGATTCATTCTTTGTTCCCTTGTTCTGTTGAGGATACCTCAGTCAACCCAGTGGCCAATATATCTTTCTCCTGCCATCATTGGGTCAAGAAAAATACACTTAACCTCCATTCCTTTTCTTTAGCTTGCCTAATTAGTTTTTCACTAAAATGTTTGCCAACATCCCATCTCTTCTGTTTTTATTTTCTTATCTTTTGGTTGGGGAGGTACTCAGGTTTTCCTGTTTATTTTTAGAGGAGGCCCTGGGGATTGAACCCAGGACTTTGTGCATGCTAAGCATGTGCTCTATCACTTAAGTTATACCCTCCCCCCCAATAATTTTGTTTCCTTCCAATTTTATTGACATATAAT